TCTTCTTTCTCCTTGTCTTTGGAGTGTCTTCCCTAGATCTCACCCAGCTCCACTTGGGAATTTTATCTAACCATCAATCTTTCAGTGGTGTAACACTTCCTAGACCAAGGGTGTCAAACTCAATTTCATTGAGGGCCGCATCAGGGTTGTGTTTGACTTCGGGGTGTGTGGCCAGGGTGGGTGTGGCCAGCTTGACAGTGCTCGTGTTGGGGGGGGGTGCCTGTGGTGGCCCGAGCACTCTGCCAGCAAAAAAGGGGGGTCTGTTTTTGGCTGCCACAGCCTTGCAACCCTCTGCCAGCAAAAACAGAGCTTGGGACAGCTGCCTGCAGCCCTCGCGTTCTCCATTTTTGGCTGCGATGGCCTCCCACAACCCTCTGCCAGAGAAAATGGAGCTCAGGAGGGCTGCCCACGACCTCCCCAAGCCCCATTTTCACTGGTAGAGGCACCACAGGCCTGTCCTTCATTGTTTCCAGGACAGTCCCATGGGCCGGACCTAAGCACCCTGCGGGCCGGATCTGGGTCGTGGGCCTTGAGTTTGACACCCCTGGCCTAGACCATCTCAAGAGCACCAATTATCAATGTTCTTTACCAAAGCCAATAGTAAATCTTTAGCAGCCAGTCCCGTTGAGGTCTATCTGAGGTTGCCAGCTATCACAGTTCTAAAAGTTCTCCTTCTCAAGCCCCTTTTTTATTTTTCAAGTTGTCTGTCACCTTAGCAGTCCTGCAACGATTCCTTCCTTTTCCCGTAGGAAAAATCTTCCTGTGGTAAAATAAAAGTCACCTTTCCGACTCTAAAGTTCAGCTATGAAAAAACAAAATCTATTTAGCTTCTTGCATGCATAGGTGACAAACTTAAGAGAAAAGCATGAACTCCTTCCTGCCTGTTGTCCCAGTCCCTTTGGTTGCTTAAGGTATTTATAGATAAAAATGTATAAGGAATCTGTATGGCTATGGTAAGAATTGTGTTGCTTGAGATGTGTGAATGTATATCATGTTGTTGGCTGAGAACCCCAATGATTTACAGGAATATTAGGCATCTGGATCTAAAAATTAATGTACCAAAAGATTAAGGATGTTATTGTTGATTGGGAAAATATGTTGAATATTGATTAGTTATGCATAAAAGAAGCAAAAGAATACATCATTGTGCACCCTGATAGAACAGTGAATGTTTACTCAAGATTGGAAAATGGATAGAGAAATGTTAGTATTTGCAAATGCTGATTCAAAGTTAGTGGAAAGTACTGCAAGTGGTTTCTTGAGAGGAATATCTGCTAAAAGAAATGAAAATGTCTGTGTCTAAGAATGTGGGGGAACAAAGTCAAACACTAGGAACTCAAGATCAGAAAACAACAATCCACAGATATCACTTTCCATCCATTGGCCCACTCATGGAGAAGCAACTATCTTTCAGGCTGTTAGGCTGCACAGATGAAGAGCAGAGACATAGACTATGAAGCCAGGAAGTTATGAGCCATCTCCTTGAATCTCTACCTGCTAGCTTCTGAGGATGAGTAATGAATTCGGTATAGCCTGACAAAAGACGGTGCTTTCCCCACTGTTTTATGGAAGTGAAAGTTGGGTCTGTCAAGCAAAGTATAAGTAAGATAAATGTAGTGGTATTAGGTAAGAACTTTGTGCACTTGAACTAGAAGATATAGGATTAATAATGAATGGATCTGAATGCATACATGAATGGCCCTACAGAAGAAGTACTGTACACACAGGTGGCTCGGTTATATAGACAGAATGAATAACGATTGAATTGCAAAGCAAATATATGAAGGCTGAGTGAATGGGTTGAGAAGAATGGAAAGTTATGGTTGGATGGAGTTGATGACCTCCTCAAAAAGAAAGAGGTGAAATCCAAAAGGTACTACATGAAGTACCATGTTCCCATTTTATTTATTTATTTATTTATTTATTTATTTATTTATTTATTTATTTATTTATTTATTTATTTATTTATTTATTTATTTATTTATTTATTTATTTATTTATTTATTTATTTATTTATTTTTGTCAATTGTTTACAAGATAATAGGTATAAGTTAAAACATAGTTATGAATACATGGATACATATAAGAAAAATAAAAGAAACAATAGGACAGGGACGGTAGACATGTTGGTGCGCTTATGCACGCCCCTACAGACCTCTTAGCAAAGGGGTGCGGTCAATAGTAGAAAGTCTAAGGTTAAAGTTTTTGGGGTTTGGGGAAAAACCCACAGAGTCAGGTAGAGTATTCCAGACATTGACCACTCTGTTGCTGAAGTCGTATTTCCTACAATCAAGTTTGGTGCGGTTTACCTTGAGTTTGTATCTATTGTGTGCTCTTGTATTGTTATGGTTGAAGCTGAAGTATTCATTGACAGGTAGGACATTGCAATGTATGATTTTATATACTATACTTAGATCGGACCGAAGGCAGCGTAGTTCTAGCTTTTCTAGGTCTAGAATTTCGAGTCTAGTGGCATAAGTTATTCTGCAATGAGTAGAGGAGTGGAGAACTCTTCTTGTGAAATATTTCTGGACTTTCTCAACTGTGTTAATATCAGATAGGTAATGTGGGTTCCAGACTGATGAGCTGTATTCAAGTTTTAGTCTAGCAAATGTTTTGTATGCTCTAGTTAGTAGTGTGATATTACCAGAGAAAAAGCTACGTAAGATTAGGTTAACAACTCATAACACCTTTTTGGTTATTTTTGTAAAATGAAGAATTGTTAGCATGGATAGAAATGCATGGAAGGTTACATTGAATGATATTGATATATACTAGATAATGTACATTTCTTTTTCTTTTTTTTCCTGTCCCACACCTTATATTTATTTGACTTACTATTTCTTATTCCTTTTCTGTCTTTTGCATAATTCTGCTTATCCAGAAAGGGTATATTGTGATGACTGAATTCAAAAATGTGTATCTGTGTGTATGCATTGATCCTCTACTGCCTACTTCGTACTTTCCCTGGGAGTTTGGTGGCTTCATTGCTCTTTTAGAATGAGAATCAGAGGAAATAAGCCCCACATATCAAGGAGCTGAGCTCCAAAGTGTTTCCCCTGAAATATTATGATATATGGATAAAATGTGGCAATTGCAAATCATATAAATAACAGTGAACTCAATGGAGGAAAGGTGAGATGAAATATACAGTAAGTAATACATCTAAAACTCATCAATCAGATTTTCCAAAACAGAAACAGTGTTTATGAATCTAGAAAGATGCAAGTTGGGTAGCATTCAGATCTTGCTTGATTGGAAAAGAAACAAATCAATATGATTAGCTTATTTCTCCCTTATGTTTCTTGATACGTACCTCTCCATAAGTTTGATAGTCAAGGAGTTTTTTTTCTTTTTTCTTTTTAGCTGTGTAGTGGATGAGATGGACTTCTCTGGCATGGAGCTTGATGAAGCTTTGCGGAAATTTCAGGCCCATATCCGGGTGCAGGGAGAAGCCCAAAAAGTGGAACGACTAATTGAAGCCTTCAGGTAAACGTTGTGCTGATGTGAGGCTACTTTGTCAATTTCTTCATTCTGTGTCCAGTATGGAGAAGAAGAGATTAAAGGGTGAAGGAAATAAGAAAGCACCTAAAAATAAGTTAACTAGGATTTGTTGTCTTCTAAATGTTCTTTCATTACAACTTGCATAATTCTTATTATTAACATTTTAAGGATCACATTGTTCTGACCCAGCATTTGCAAGTAAGTAGTGATAAGATGTTTACTCGCAAGTAAAACAACCCCCTTTTTATAACAGGGCAGTAGCAGTCATTTATTCATAGGGATAAACAAAAAAATCAAATGTAATTAGTCCCAACAAACCTGGGTTTAGTCAAGAAATCCAAATTGCTTGCTGTATACTAGAAACAAATGGTTGTCTGTGACAACCGGCCATTCCCAAACCACTCCTATTTATTTCCCAGGCAGGGAGGGCTGGCTATCATCTGCATCTGCCTCACCTTGAGAGCCAGCTTAATGGTTTCCTTTGCTCTCCTCTCCTTTCCTCTCTGCGCACATGCACATCTGGGATGGGTCCCATCTGTTCCTCCCCCTCACTCAGCTCAGGCCCCAAAGACAGCTGCCTCTCCACCCGGGGGAGCGTCAGAAGTGGTATTCAGTAGGTTCTGACCAGTTCTGGAGAACCGGTAGCAGAAATTTTGAGTAGTTCAGGGAACTGGCAAATACCACCTCTGACTGGCTCCACCCCCACCTATTCTCTGCCTCCCAAGTCCCAGCTGATTGGCTGGGTCTTCTTTTGTTGCCCTGCACAGGAGAACGGAGCTGTAAATCAGGTTAATGGGGTGGGGAGGGAATGGAGATTTTACAGTAACCTTCCCCCAGGAGTGAGGAGAGAATGGGGATTTTTCAGTATCCTTCCCCTGCCATGCCCCCCAAGCTAAACCCTCAGAACTGGTAGTAATTTTTTTGAAACCCACCACTGGGGAGGATGGAAGGCCCAGGTTCTGCCTCTGTCTCTGATGCTGTATCCTTATCAGAGCCTTGTCAAAGGCTCCAAAGCTGGCTCAGACTCTCCCCACCACCTCCTCCACATCTGACTCTGCAACTATCTCTGCTGGCAGCCACAACACATATTTGCACATTTTTATTTTTAAAGAAAGCACTTCTTTTGGCATGATTAAAAGTTATTGCACAGCAAAGGAGCTAAAACACATAGAACAGGGGGTCCCCAAGCCCTGGTCCATGGATCCGTACCAGGCCACAGCATGCTAACAACCGGACCATGCAAACAAGGAAAGCCCCATCTGTGGGATGCAGGCAGCGTGCAAAACTATTCCTGCTCCGATCCCTGGAAAAAGCTTTCTGCACAGAAGTGGTCTCAGGTGCCCAAAAGGTTGGGGGTTCTAATGATGTAGAATATACTTCTTTAAGAAAAAGGAGAAATCATTTAAAAATAATTAAAATGAATAAAATTGAAATTACCAACAACTAAAGATGTTTCAAAGGGTGACCAACAACGAGACAGATGGACTCATGCATAGTGGCAATGAGTGCAACACTTGAAGGGCCAGGTTGGAGACAGATCATTCTGGATTAAGTCTATTTATATAATTGATAAGATTTGACACCAATCTGATACCTAATTCATTCAATCAATGTACTTCTCTTATAATCTGTCCAATTTTCTGTTGTGATCTTCCTTAATTACACGCACATATTTTATTTATTCTTTATCGACTCATAAGAACAGCTCTGAATAAAATCAAATTAAGGTTGGTTTGAGAATTGCGAATTTAATAAGTTTGCATTAACACAAATTTCCCAATCCTTTTTGTGAAAAAGTACATGTTCTCTGAAGTTTTATGGTGCATCTATTCTTTATAGCGTCCTCTCCACAATATTTGTGACACAATTAGAAACATAATCCTTCGACCTGGGAAGATTATTTCTCACATGGATTCAGACAATTAATTAATTTATACAACTGTGGTATTATCCTAGTGAAATGTGAATGTAAATAATTTTACCACCTGTAAAACTGGGGTGGAGTCATTTAGTAATGGATAATTTTAAATTTCCCTTATTATATATTGACTTTGTCTCCCTCCCTCTGCAGCCAGAGGTACTGCATGTGTAATCCAGATGTAGTCCAACAGTTCCATAATCCAGACACCATTTTCATCTTGGCTTTTGCCATCATCCTTCTTAATACGGATATGTACAGTCCTAATATTAAACCTGACAGGAAGATGATGCTGGAGGACTTCATTCGGAACCTGAGAGGTGAGGGCATTGCTTGGCTGTATTGTTCCTTATTCCAAATCCTGAACAAGGAAGTATTCAAATAAATAATGTTGTAGATGATATTAAAAGAGCTAAAATATATGCTGGTTGTGACATTTGAGCTAATAGATTAATAGTGAAAATGGAATAAAACTTTTGAACTGTCCCTGGTTTGATGGCAGCCATATTGACTGACTGCTGTTGCGCCTCTTCTTCAGATGGGTTTTTTTTTTCAAGTCAGGGAGGAGAGATGCAGCTCTCCTCAACCTGCAAGGTGCCCCCCCTTTACTTCACCACCCCTACAGGGTGGCTATGGTTACTTTTGGAGCCCTCCAATGGGGAGAGCTTGGAACAGGGCCACCGAGCATACAGTCCTTGCCTCCAATGCTACCAGAAGCATAGCCAGAAGTCAGTAAAAAGGAGTAAAACTTTTAACAACATCAGATAAAGCATGTTTGCAGATCTAGACCACGAGTGTCAAACTCAATTTCATTGAGGGCCGCATCAAGGTTGTGTTTGACTGGGGGGGTGTGGACAGGGTGGACATGACCAGCTTGACGTCACTTGTGTCGGGGCACCTGTGGTGGTCTAAGCACTCTGCCAGTGAAAACAGGCTCCCGAGCTCTGTTTTTGGCTGCATCAGCCACCTGCAACCCTCTGCCAGAAAAAATGGAGCTCGGGAGAGCCATACACAGACCCCCAAGCTCGGTTTTCAATGACAGAGACACAGTAGACCAGTCTTTCGCTGTTTCCTGTAGCCCCGTGGGCCAGATCTAAGTACCCCATGGGACAGATCCGGCCTGCGGGCCTTGAGTTTGACACCTTTGATCTAGATCAAATACAGGCAATTGTCTGGTGTACTGGGTGTTGAGTTTAGCCTTTTGGGGTTAGTTGAAGGCCACAGAAAATAGAATAATAAAGCAAAGGGAATGAGACCGTCAGACTTTGGACTTGGGGCTGCTTTTTATTGCAGTTAAGTCTATTTTAGGATTTACACTGCAATTTTCAATTATATTTTGATTATATAACAGCTGTACAAACAATTATATTTTGCAATTTCAAATTAAGTTTATTGTACACACACATGCATGTGTCTGTATAATATGCCATTTACACCTTTGGCTGTAGACTATCATGTAGATAGCTGACTGCTGTTTGCATTGTTAAGAGTATTTTATAAAATCATACCACACAGAAAAATATATATACTTCTTTCTTATTTTTTTGAACTGGTTTCAGCATTTATGTTAACCTTTAATTAAAGTAAAAGACTAACTTTATCATGCCTGTTTTGGTTTTGGTTTTGATTTGTTAAGGCCAAACTCAAAGGTTACAAAAAAAAAAAAAAGATCTGGGTTGCTTAAAATATTTTTTTTATTCCTTTCTTGATGTTATCAGTATTTTGTTATTGACTAATCTAGTAGCCATTAATATAAAATATAAGCAGAGTTGGTGTTAGACTCCCTGACTGGAAACTCTATTACAATGCAGCAGCATTGATATGGATCAAAGAATGGATCAACTTGAGTAATAAAAGGATATTAACCCTAGAAGATCATGATCTACAGATGGGGAGGCATGCCTTTCTATGGGAAATGAAAAGTGAGAATCAACATATTTTTATAAAAATTATAAGAGCGATTCATTGATACAGATTTGGAATAAAATTAGGAGAAAACATTATATAAAAATACTGGCCTGGTTATCCACCATGGAAGCAATGATATACCCCAACATATTGGATTTAAATAAAACAATTAGATACAAAGAAATATTGGATAATCAGGGAAAATTAAAAACAAATCAGGAATTAAAAGAGCAGGGTATAACCATAGACTGGTGGCCATATCTCCAGCTGCAAACCAGATATAAAAAAGATGTAGAAGAATTTGGAATCCATACTGAACTGCAACAATTAGACAAAATTTTATTAGGCCCCGAATATAAAATATAATAGTACTTTTCAAATTTAAAACTGTACCAGAAATTATTATGACAACATCGATCAATCAGAATAGAGGTGGAAGGGACCTTGGAGGTCTTCTAGTCCAGCCCCCTGCTCCAGCAAGAGATTCTATGCCATTTCACATAAGTGACTGTCCAGTCTCTTAAAAACCTCCAGTGATGAAGCACCCACAACTTCTGAAGGCAAGCTGTTCCACTGGTTAATTGTTCTCATTGTTAAGAAGTTTCTCCTTAATTCCAGGTTGCTTCTCTCCTTGATTAGTTTCCATCCATTGTCTCCCACCTAAATATGCTATATCTCTAATCTTTAATTAGTAATTAATGCAATTTTATGAAATATCTTATCCCCAAATTTACTATGGGATATGACTCTCACATTTGCAAAAAGTTATCATTGCTGCAATCACTTGAAGATTGATTTGTTTCTTTTTATTCTTTATGACATTTTAACTGGGATAAGATGCCAACAATATAAAATCTTGTGTTTCCTACAAAGATTTTGAATGGATTTTTCCATATTTGCTTTTTTTCCAGATATTCTAATAAATATTCAGGGTCTAATCTCTATTATCTCGTTTAAAAATGTTGTATCTCTGATTTCTGATTATATTCAAAATTTGCATTGTTAATACAACAATTTAACACTTTTAACAAATGTAATTTATTAATGTAATTTAAGAAATTTTTGAAGAATATCTTTCTGTACCATTAAAATATATGCTAAGATATATTTCAACAGGCTCTTGACTTGGATAAAAACCCTGATTTTTTAATAAGAAAAGTTTCATTCAGCCTGCATTGCAAAGAATTTAATTCTGTTCTGTCATAACTTTAATAAAAATGAATTTATCTAGAAACATTTTTATATGTCCAGCCAACATATAGTTTCATTCTCTGTGTTAAAAATAGAGGATTAATTAATATACTGCCAAGGAGCATTAAAAGAGCCATATTTGACTTCCATGTCATTTAATATGGTTCATTAACTCTTTAAAATATTTAATACTTGACCATTTTTGTGTTTTCTGCCTTAATGTGATAGGAAACCATAATTCCAATCTTCTTCCAATCTAAGATTCTCCAAGGGCCAAGTCAAGGTCTGGGGCAACAGGCAGTGTTCAAACCTCAGGTTGCTGACCTCTAAATTAAACTGAATTTAAGTGTAAACTCAAGTGTACATTGTGGTAGAAATTATTGTTCTATGTAATTATGGGCAGTTATGGCTGTAGCTTGGAAATCTCCAGCATGGAATTTGCTGCAGCTAATGGTCCCAGTTGCATACTTATCCTGCTCTTTTACATTTTTCAACCAGTATTTTTTGTATATACGCACTCAAACCTATCCTCTTCAGGTTAAGCACCATCAGGCAAAGCTCAGAACACTTTTTAAGCACAGAACAAAATTTAAAAGGAAGCTGGGACAGTAAAAGTAAAATACTACCTTCAGCTTTGCTCCTAAGGATGATATTTGGTTCTACATTTATTTCCATATGGATGTTAAGACTGAAAAATGGTATTGGATACAGCTAAGTACTTTGCTTGTAAATGTGTCCGCTTGTCCATAGAAAAAAATAATGTTAGCCTTGAACCTCTGTAGAGCTGGAGAGAATGGCAAGGAGCCATTTCAACATTTCAGATTAATTTGTGATTGGTCCCATCCACATTGATAGTTATTTGATGAAGGAGGGTAACTCCTCCAAGGGCATCCATTATCTTTGCATCATTTCTCAAACTTTCAAGGACATTGACTGACCACAAATGGGAGGAAATCATTTGTACACGTCCATAATCTCTGGAGGGGAAAACAGCATGTAAGCTGTTACTTTTGTATGTTAAGAATTCTTGAAGAATGATGATTGAATTAAAAAAAAAAGAATGTTTATATTGTTTTGACTTAACAGGAGTGGATGATGGAGCTGATATTCCCCGTGACTTGGTGGTGGGGATTTATGAAAGGATTCAGCAGAGAGAGCTCAAATCCAATGAGGACCATGTGACTTATGTCACTAAAGTAGAAAAATCGATTGTTGGAATGAAAACGGTGAGGCTTTGCACATCATTAGTAGATATCTATTGTATTATAGCAATAGCACTTAGACTCATATACTGCTTTATAGTGCTTTACAGCCCTCTCTAAGTGGTTTACAGAGTCGGCCTATTGCCCCCAACAATTTGGGTCTTCATTGTACACACCTCAAAAGGATGGAAGACTGAATCAACCTTGAACCTGGTGGGATTTGAACTGCCAAATTGTAGGCAGCTGGCTGTAGCAGAAGTAGCTTGCAGTACTGCACTCTAACCACTGCGCCACAGAGGCTCCTGTGATGAAAATGCTGATGACAACTGTAGTTTTATGCAGATACTTTTATTTTAAGAAAAAAGGATACTATCTTAATATTGTCTACTTCAGCAGTAATTCTGCATGTTCTCAGAGTTCTCACAGGGCATGGACAAAGAATTCAAGGTGGAAGTTACAATGGTGTAATCAGAGTTTTGCCTCTGTTCTTTGTGTCTCATCTTGATATGTTTTTAGCCATAAATGGGGATTCCCCTGCCTCTAGCCATGAAGGTCTTTCTCATTATTCACTGAATCCTTCCTGATTGGAGATGCCAGCAAGGGCTGAACCTGGGAACATCCCCATGGAAACCAATTACTCTGTCACAAACTACACTTCCATTAGATCAGGAGCCTCCAAACTTGACAACTTTAAGGCTTGTGGACTTCCAGAAATCCCTATTCTAGCTGGGCAATTCTGGCAGTTGAAGTCCACAAGTTTTAAAGTTGGCAAATTTGGGGACCCCTGCATTAGATCAGTGCTTTTCCAATGTAGTAACTTTAAAATGTATGGACTTCAACTCCCAGAATTCCCCAACCAACATGGGAGTTGAAATCCATACATCTTAAAGTTACTACTTTCTTGTGCTGCTTCCCTCCTATTTTTTTTTCTTCATTTATATCTAATATTCCTACCTATGTGAATCTGCTTTTCTTTGATCCCACATCCTTTTTAAAATTAATACTTTGCTCATGAAGTTGGACGAATGGATATGTTTGATTTTTTTCCCTAGCAAGGATAATTTTTATACCATTCTTATTACTTGGGAACATATGCACCATGGCCCTATATAGAAGACAAAGTTACAAAGTGAAAGAATATTACATTTGAGTTTTTTCATGTTCACTTTACTAGAAGTAAGCCCAACATACAACCCTGTTTCCATATTATATTTTTCCTCTCTCTTTGCAACTTTTTGTGTCCTTCCAAGGTTTGCTCCCACTGAAATGTGGTCAGGTAGAGGTGCCCACAGGGAAAGGATAAAAAAAGTTAAAATTATGGCCTCAAGCATGCATTCAATGCTCTTTTCCTTTTTAATATGCATTATGATGTGTGTGTTGATGACATGGTTGACATTTTGACCCTTTTGAGTCATCAAAAGGGGGCATGGTAAATTCCTCCAGATGTGCTTGTAATGGAATTCCCTGAAGTTCAGATAATAAGTGCTTAGCTCTAACAAATGTACCCACTCAGAAAGACAGAACACTCTTTAAAAACAAGGTCCCAGAACATGGATGATTTAAACAATCCTATGAGAACAAAACCACCCAGTAATTCTGGAAGAATCAGTGTCTATTGGAAAATAAATTTCCGGGTGTTAAAATGACTGCAGTGCACTGCTTAAAAGGAATCTGGTGGCAGAAAGGTTCAACCAGACGCTCCTTTTACAAGAGATGCTGCAATATTTTCTTGCAGATCTCAAGACAATAACATGCCCTTTTGCTGTTCTCCATTGTTTGAATCAGCAATTTCCAGATCCTCTCCAGAAATACACTTAGTAGCTTTAGGCCTTAGGCATGCATTGCTATATTCCATAATTGTGGTGCAGCTTCCTATGCCTTCTGTTTGATTGGGCAGGATAAAGAGAATTGATGAACAGAGAAAATCCTGACATGGTTCTCTTGGGCCTCTCACAGCTGCCAGAAAATAACTTGATATATTCCATGTTTGTTGTGGAGTGTACACATGATATATGTGAAAGCCTGCTGATTCCTTCCTGTAACACTGCTGTATCTTTCCTAAACTGCTGTTAGGAAGCTAAGTAGTGATGGGATTCAGCCAGTTCACACCGGTTCAGGTGAACTGGTTGTTATATTACACACACACACACACTATCAAAGTGGATCCTGGCTGCTGTGCTGCAATGGAAAAACGGGCAATGGAGCAGCTGGTAGGAGGGAAAGAGAGGGCCGCTTTCCCTCTTCTCCCTGCTCCTCCCCCCGCCTGTGCTGGTTGCTCCGTTTCCTGTTTCTCCATTGCAGTGCAGTGCCCAGGATCCACTTTGGTAGCTGGGGGGGGGGGTGTTGGCGTTAATTTAACAACTGGTTCACCCAGGGCCAGGTTGGCCATCGCAGGAGGTTTGTCCCATATATGTGCAGAGCCGGAGGATGAGGATGGGCCACACCTCCTACGATGGCCAACCTGACCGTGGGCGAACCGGTTGTTAAATTATTTGAATCCCATCACTGGAGCTAAGTATAGACCACCAGCCATTTTATGCCAGAGAAAGCTTTCCAGATTTATCAGCAAAGAAATAAGTGACACCCCCTTCCTTCTGCAGCCTGATCCATTGGAGAGGCATGAGTTAAAGACTAAACCTGTTTCCCATAATGAGCATCACAGGTTTACTAAAAGATTTAAATCTTTATCACATCCAGCCAGGTCTGGGGGCTAGAAGAAAACTGAAAAAGAAACAAGTGTGGGGGGAAACAAACAGTTGCTTCCCGAAGAGATTGATCTTGGTCAGTTGTTCCCACTGGCAGGCTCTCACACAAACAGCACCCCTAAGGACAAATGCACACATCCCATATTCTATGTTGCCATTAGTCACTAATCCTAGTCACAGCATTTGCAGTGGGAATCTAAAAGAACCAAGATAGCGGTTGTGGAATGGTGACCGAAGCCCTTGTTCTTTGTATGTACATTTGTTTTTCTTGGAGTTCTACTTTCTCCATCCATTTCTGGCTGCATAGGCCAGTTGGTTTTCCTTGCAGAATCAGGAGTAGAATTTGCCTATCTTCACAACATCCAAAAAGTTGGAACATCCAACAATTGAAAAAAAGCTGTGCTTGACAGGATAACATGGAGGGCACTTGCCTATAAAGTCGCCAAGAGTAGAACACAACTAAATGGTTAAAAAACATCTTTACAACGAGACATCCAAGGAGAACATCTCACGATGAAATTATATGTTCTAGGCCGTCGAAGTTGCCCAAAGGTCTTGAAACTGCATAAGATCATAAATGTTTGTTGTAATTGTGGTTATGGATGGAACCTTCCTACTCTGTCTCTTTCTTGCAGGTGCTGTCTGTGCCTCATCGCCGGTTGGTCTGTTGCAGCCGCCTTTATGAAGTGACAGACGTGAACAAAGTACAGAAACACGCTGCCCACCAGAGAGAAGTTTTTCTCTTCAATGACCTGCTGGTGGTGAGGGAATCTTTGACTTAAGAATCACTTCAATTTAGAAAATGCTCAGAGGACCTAGGAATTGGAGTTTAAATGCACCTCTCCTTACGAAACCCCCCCCCCCCCCCGAGTCAAAAGATAACACAGCATGAAGAACATTAGGTTTCCATTCCTGTTCTCTCTGACAAAGTCCTATGGATTGGATCTGGGAGAGGGAGGTTCAGGAGACCAGTCCTGTGACTTCCCACACATAGACAAACAAGTATGCAACGGTTTGCAGCCACCTAATATTTTATATGACAGAATACCTCAGTGCTTTCATGGCTGTACTGAGGCCAAACACCATTTGGCAGCCAGTGAAGTTGACTGAGATGTGGAATGATGTTCCAAGTAGTTCCTCTCTTGTTGAATGGTTGCAGTTACACTCTAAGCAAGCCAAACATTTCTCAGAAGCAGCCCTGTGTAGGGTTTTTCTTCATTTGCGTGCAACCATATACCCACACCAGGAGAGCCTACTTTTGTGGCATTTGCTTATAATTTTGTGGCATTTCCTTGTAATTCCTTACTAGCACTGAGGATGTTACCTGGTAACCAGTAATGAAACTTCTGTAAGAAAGCAAGCAAGCTCACAGTACACCAAGGACCCCTTATAATGTTGCCTTCTTCTCATCTCTAACTGGAGGCAACTGAAAGTCCTCCTTAGTTATGTCAATGTTAAAGTCATACTTTCCCCTCTGGGCAGGCAACGAGGCATGATGGTTTTACATAGGTGGAGTCTGATGTGCTTTAGTTATCACATGATGGATGCCATGGTCAGGTGACTGAGGCATGTTGGCCTAGTAGTGAAGATGTTCGCCTCCCACTCAGAAGGTTGAGAGTTCAATCCTAGCTAGAGGCAGATGTTTTTCTCTCTCCTAGAGCACACAAAAAAAAGTGCTGTGAACTCTGTGTAGGCATCAGGAAGGGCAGCCTTCTAGTAAAAGGTCAGCTCCATCCAATTGCCCCAACCCTACCCTGAATTAAGGGATTAGGGTAGTAAAAAAAGGAAGTTATGGTCAAGTGACTGCTAGGGGATGGGATCTTTCTGTCACCTATTGTCCTTTTTAAACTGGTCTGAGTATGCCCTCAGAAAATGGACATCATTTCCGAGCCTTAATAAATGCACATACTCAAATAAAGTATTCTTTTGTTGTTAGTATATTCCAGTGATGGCTAACCTTTTCAGCTTGGTGTGTCGAAAATCGGGAAAAAGTGTAGCCTTCCTCGGGTCATGTGTCACTTCAAGAAATATCAGTAATTTGGTTTATGACGGACTGGGCTGGGGTGATCACACAGGGCTGTGAAACTCGTCTCCCTGGTCTCAGGGCTGCAGGTGCAGGATGTGGGGATCGGAAGGCCACCTTACAGGGCTGTGAACCTCATGGATCTCCTTTCCTCCTGTAGCGTTCCTGAGGTAATGAAACTGACAAACCTCAGTTTATGGCGGTTAAAACTGGTTCTCTGCTGCAAAGATCTTGCGGCAGCGATGACACCACGCCTCCACGCAACAAGCAGGGAGCAGGGATTGGAGCAGAGCACAGGCAGCCTCTAAATGTGCAGGTTTTCCCCACACCAACAGGCGTGTCAGTCAAAGTGCCTCGGCGTGTCACGAGTGATACGCGTGTCATAGGTTAGCCATCACTGGTATATTCTAACAACTGCCACTTTTGACTTGCATTATTTTGCAAGCCTCTTCTGCTTTAAGCATTGAGAGAATCTGTTTCTTTCAAATGAAGTTCTCACTATGGATCCACTAAGTCTCTGAGCCAATATCTGAGTAGCCTGAACAGTAGCTAATCAGTAGAAGTATTACAGAATCTGTGCGTTGAAGTGAGAGAGTGAGAGCCAAATCCTTTTGTAGGACTTCATGGTGCAATTCTTGCCATACCTGTCAATGGTTGTACAGACTGCTTTTGGACAAAGGTTAAACACCCTTCCTGAATGGGGCTGAACCCACTTCTAACATGAATCTGTCTACCAGCTGATATCACCCTATTGTTTTGGTTCAGACAACAGGTCTATTCAACCAAACCATGAAAAATGTGCAAAAGTAGATCAAATCATGATAAATGACTAATTCCCTCCATCAACTACGTATCAAAGCTCATTCCTCCACAGCACATAGCACCATCATACATGAGTGGATTGCTGATGGGTGACATTTTATGGGGAGGGAAGACAACCAAACTGGAAGAATCTACAAAGTTCTTTCCTGAATGTTGTCCTTATGCTTTATGCATAAGGACAACAATATTTGCAGGCCTTGTGCCTGGGGTGAGAATTAGGCCACACAGCTTTCTTCTGAATCACAGATTGGTGGAAAGCATATAACTTAGTCCATGCAACCTAGCCTCAGTTGGATGTTCATATATCCCAGATGGAATGGAGCCCATCAAATGGCTCATTTGACTGGGGGTGGGCATTGTTGTTTTTTATTTTTATTTTTATTTTATATACTGTGTTTTTTATTGCTTGAAAGCTGTCTAGAGTCACCATGAGCAAGTAGGCAGCCATATAAATTTCCCAAATATGAATCCTGAAGAATGAGTGAAGATAAATAGACTAAGAAATGGGAAATACCATTCTACATCAGCATCACATTGACAAACTTGGCACTTTGATCTATCCTCCATTACCTTTGATGCCATACTAGTTGAGGCCAGAGACACATTTTTTGTAGAGCATAGTCTAAGCCAGAGACACTGAAATACTGTTTATAATACTCCCTGCTTCAGGGAGCCTAATGGTGTTTCTAATGAGTTGTTCACATTTTGTGGCCAATCTATAATTACTGCTGAGCTGATTTGTTTGTTTTCCTAATGAAATTTGAGAATTGGGTATTCCCAGATACAGTTTACATCAGTTCCCATATTCTGATGGCTGGGAAAATTGCAGCTACTACTGTACGTTAGAAGTTGTAAGTTTGTTGACTGAGAATAGTCATGTTGGCTCCCATTAGGGAAAAAGCATCTTGTCTGAGCAGATTAATTACCACCCAATTAAGGAGTCTTTGGAGAGTGGGATGATAAGTGCATACAGATTTAGAATCTGAGTGGGCAGAAGCCCCCTCTGAAGCACTGCTCTGAGACAGGACATTGATACCTAAAGCCAAGGCCTTAAATATACAATGCCAGCTGTTGATAAAGCCAGAGAAACCCAGGAAAACCAATTGCTACCTTTTGCTCATGCATCTCTCATTGTATCCTGAAAAGCGTAAGGAAAGAGTGAGTGGATCGAGCACCGAAAAGACCGTCTTTACTGCCAAACTGGGTGTTTTCAGCAGCAAAAGGGACCGTAGAGAATCCAACCTATTTCATTTTAAAGAAAGGCAGGGAAACGGCTAAGATAAAACATCCGAGCAATTGACAAGTGTGATTTGACAGGACTCCCGCAGGAGGAGATAACAAAAGTCCACTCTTCAGCGTGGTTTTTCACTCAACTTCTCGACTCTCAGTCACAAGGCTGTAAGCTAAACAAATTTCTTCCAGGCAAGATGAACATGAAGTGGTTGTGCAATTTGCATCTGTGTGAATGTTTGAGGTGTTTTGTTTTTTTTTTAAAAAAAGAACTGATATCTATGACATAACCCAGATAGAAGGAAGGATAAGGGGATTAACTCTTTAACTCACATATTGCAATCATTCTTCACACAAAATTGTCCTATTTTCCATCAACCCCACCCCACCCCGACTCTGACTGAGACTTACATTCAGGGGTAGGCTGCTGGGGGTTTGCAAGGATTCAGGAGAGCCCCTAGCTTAGATTTTGTGCCCCCAAATCCCACTCCTGGCTGGCCCCGCCAACCCCGCCTCGCCCCTCCCAGGAGTCTCCACACAACCTGTTTTGGATGTAGAGCAGGGGTGTCCAACCTTGGTAACGTTAAGCCTGGAGGACTTCAACTCCCAGAATTCCCCAGCCAGCTTTGCTGGCTGGGGAATTCTGGGAGTTGAAGTCCTTCAGGCTTAACGTTACCAAGGTTGGACACCCCTGATGTAGAGCGTGCCTGGAGGCTCAGGGAAGGTGAAAAACGGGCCTCAGGAAGGCCAGAAATGGGCCTGTTTCGTTTTTGCCCTCCCGGAGGCTCCGGAACCCAGGGAGGGCAAAAATGCCCCCTCCCACCATGGTGCATGAGGCTGACTAGGCCACACCCACCATGGCCACACCCACCCAATTCACATCCTCCTTCCAGTGCAAGGAGCTGATAGGCGATTAGTTTGATATGGCTTGAAAAAAACATAATTAGAAAAAAGAGTTCCAGCCCCTTCTCATAACAGATGTCAGAGTTCCAAGTAATAGATCCATTTCAAGCAAGAACTCCGAGGCAGGTTGATTCCTCAAAGAATAGCTTTATTGGAAATATCAAATTGCCAGATATCTGGTGAAAACCAACTCTGAGGGGGCCCTTGGTTTTCACCCAATTAAAAGTAAAAGTTTTTTCCCTGAACGCCAAACAATCAGTCAGATGGCCCAATCCCTGCAATGTCCATTGGTCTGATGACATCATCCCTCCTTCCTTCGGCCAGGTGTGAGAATATCCTTGGTTCCCAGGAGAAAATTTTGAGAAAGTATTTTATTTTGATTATACAAGCCCACCTATCTCTAATCCCCCACTCCCTATCCCTCAGTCCAGCGTGACAACACTGAAGCTCCAAGATCGCTTCGCCCAGGTCAGTTTCAGTGTTGACAACAGGACTCCTAACCGGATTAGTCCACTGCAATTCCCAATTTTCTTTATTTCTAAATTTTAAAAATGCATGCAGATTGCTTGCACTACAACAGGGGCGTCCAACCTTGGCAATTTTAAGACTGTGGACTTCAGCTCCCAGAATTCCCCAGCCAGAATGCCTAGGTTTGGATATCCCTGTGTTACAACAAGGAGTGTGAAGGGTGACCTGTCTTAATAACTTAGACTAGGGGTGTGCAACGTAAGACCCTGGAGTTTCATTAATCTTAGATTTGGATGTGCAGCCCAATGTCCCTTCAGATTTTATCACCAAACTAAAGGAAAAATCAGAATGGACTGACTGTGTTAATTCATTTAGACCCAGCATGTGATAATACTTAGGGACCTGGCTGATCTTCAAAATCTAAGTAGGGTCAGACCTGATTATTGCTTGGACTGGATCCCACAAGGCATGTTTTTTAACCCTACTTTTTTTTCTTTTACCATGTTCCATCTTTTGGGGGGGGTATGGCCCCTCACACCATTCATATTCCCATTAGAAACTCGTTCTGACTACCATATTGTAGTTGAAGGGTGTTATTTGGACCTTAAACTTTCCAGTTGTCCTTTGTTGATCTTTCTGAAAGACTGTCTGTCTGTCTCTCTCTCTCTCTTCATCTGTGTCCTTTTAACAGATTCTCAAGCTTTGCCCCAAGAAGAAAAGCTCTTCAACCTACACATTTTGCAAGTCAGTTGGCCTCTTAGGAATGCAGTTCCATCTGTTTGAGAATGAATGTAAGTTTATCACAGTCTACTTGGCTCTTTGCCTGATGACACTGGAGGGGATAAGTGTGCCGTCTTTCATGGGTTATAGAAACAGGCTTTATTCACGAGGGAGAGCAAATGTGGCATTCCGGTTATGGTGAACGTTAGCATTTAGAATCTGAACTGGGGAGACCCCAGTGTTAATTGAAACTCAGCCATGGTGACTTGGGCCACTCCTTCTCTTCAGCCCAACCAAATAGATAGGTGTCAAGCATCCAGAAAGTATCCATGATATCAATCACTCCGAGGTGTTATCTCTCCAATTGATTTATTAGCTTTGAAATTCAGCTGCCAATAGGATTGTTGATGGATGAACAATAAGAGAAGGGAGTGCAGCATATGCTACCTTATGTTCCTAGGGAAACATGAGGTATAAATGTCTATGGAGATTCAGGTCGTGGTTGACCCAACGGTGCTTTTTCAAGAGGCAACTGGACTTTCTGGTTTTTCTTTGAAGGTGTTTTGCTTCTCATCCAAGAATGTTAAGTGAATCTGGCTTCCCCATTGACTTTGCTTGTCAGAAGGTCACAAAAGTGGATCTCATGACCCCAGGACCAGTGGTGGGATTCAACCTTTTTTACTACTGGTTCTATGAGAGCGTGCTTTGTGCGCGCACGTGCATGTGCAGTGTTCAAAAACCACCAATTTTAAGCTTCAAAACTTACCTTCTATTCAGAGCTGGTGAGTAAAACAGCTGAGGCGTGCCCATCTGTGCTGCTGGGTGAATCGGCTGAGCTAAAAAAAACAAGGATGTATAGGACAGGAAAAGGCAGGTATGGGTGAGCGGGGCCAACTGTTCACCAGCGCTACCAGTTCGCTAGAACCGGTGCAAACCGGCAGCATCCCACCACTGCCCAGAACACTGCACCAGTCATAAATATGAGTCAATTGCCAAGCACTTGAACTTTGATCATGTGACCATGGGGATACTACAACAGTCCTAAGTGTGAAAAATGCTCAGAAGTCACATTTTTCAGTGCCATTGTAACTTTGAACAGTCACTAAATGAACTGTTGTGAGTCAAGGACTACCTGTACATACATAATTCCATACCGTAGAAATCCGTTCACAGAAATCCGACAAACAAGCAAAAACAAACAAACAAACAAAAACCCACCCCAAACAGCCAAAGCTTTTAAAAATCCTATAATAACTTAGATAGAAATCTTCAGTAGAACTGAAGACACATATAGTGGCTGTGGAATTCTGAATGGCTGGGCGGGATGAAAAGAGAATATTCAGAAAAGAAAGCATGCCTGGCAAATATTTTGTTGGGAACCTCAGTTATAGTCCTAAATTGGGAGTGTCAAACTCAAGGCCTGGGGCCAGATCCGGCCTGTGGGATGTTTAGATCTGGCCCATGGGGACGCCCTAGAAACAGTGAAGAAATGCCCCCAGTGCCACAGTCAGAGAAAACAGAGCTTGGGAGGGCTACATGTGGCCTTCCTGAGCACCATTTCTGCTGGCAGAGGGTTACAGGAGGCTGTTGCAGCTGAAAACAGAGCTCGGGAGCCCATTTTCACTGGCAGAGCACTCGGGCCCCCATAGATGCCTCTGATATGAGTGACATTGACTGCCCATGCCCACCCTGGCCCCCCAAGGTCAAACACAACCCTGATGTGGCCCTCAATTAAATTGAGTTTGACAACCCTGACCTAAATGAACAACAAACAGAAATGAAGAATCATCGACCAATAGTAGAATCCGAGGCTTGAAAAGGGAGCAAGAGTCACAAGAATTCGTTTTACTGCAGAGCGGTATCCCCCAAATCTTGAAACAGGAGTACCAATCATGGCAAATGATTCTTGAACTTGATGACCCTGAACTGGATAATTTGAAATCATGGAACGTGCAAGACTTCCAGAACAAAAGCTGTTTCTCAGAAGTTGTTTGGCATAAAAGAGGCCAAATCTGTCTCTATGAGTTAGGTTAAGTGCAGAAAGGAAATCTGCAAGGCAGCATTCCCTTTCTTCTCTTTAAACCTCATTGTGTACTTACTGCAAAGTGTCTTGTTATAGACACGGGTCCCACGCCTTCACCAAAATCCAAATCGGTTTTTTGTTCTCTGCTATTGATAGAAGATCCTTAAATCCTTGATTTAAAAAAAGGGGGGGAATCTAACGTACCCATTACACGTGCTTATGATCACGCTAACTGGAGGATGCAAAAGACAACTTGCCTTTAATCTAGGACAAATGAATTATATAGCATTGTTTACTCTGGCAATGGCTTGGTCACAGCAGAGATATCACCTGGTATCTGTCATTTTATCTAGAAACAACAGGGATATTTTGCCTGGAGACAACAGAAATAACAAACTGGGTTTTTTTTTTAAAAAAAACAACTGCATTCACATAACATATTACAATGGGTTGGCTTTAAGTGATTATGATTATGTTAGCCCTTCAAGATAAACCCGGACTAGGAAATTAAAGTTGTTAATTGTTGTGGCCTGTCAGCCACCGGCCTCTCCAGCAGCCGAATCCGATGAGTAGGCAGTGTGGGAGTCAGAGGCAGCATCAAGGCAACCTGAGAGCTCCAAGGGGGAAGAGGGAATGGAGCTGCCAGAGAGGGAGGGAGGGAGGGAGGGAGGGAGGAGGAGGAGCTTGGGCCATCCGGCAGCCCTCAGATGGAGAGTCAACAGCCCCCAGGTCTGGAGGTGGCTGATGAGAAAGAGGAGGAACAGCTGGGTCCAGTCCCTGATGTGCAGATATGCAGAAGGCAGAGGAGAGGAGAGCAGTGGAAATCTATGGGCCGATCCTTGGGATGAAGAGCCACCACTGCTAGCAAAGCCCCACCCAGCTCTGGGGATAAAGGCAGGGGGGAGAGATGAGTAGATGTGGCAGACAACTATTCATCTCCCTGCTGGACAGACTTCTTAACCCTCTCTCTCTCTCTCTCTCTCTCTGTGTGTGTGTGTGTGTATCTGTGAAAGAGAGAGAGAGAGAGAGAGAGAGAGAGAGAGAGAGAGAGAGAGAGAGAGAGAGAGAGAGAGAGAGAGAGAGAAAGAAAGAAAGAAAGAAAGAAAGAAAGAAAGAAAGAAAGAAAGAAAGAAAGAAAGAAAGAAAGAAAGAGACTTTTTGCTGGGGCTGCTGGCGCTCCCAATAAAGGGAACCTTTGTTTAACTACAGAGGGTTTGCCATGTTTGGGAGCCGGGTCAGAACATAAATGCTAATACTGTACAGGCAGTTCTCGGCTTCCAACTGTTTTTTTTAGCGATTGTTGCAGAATTACAATTACATTGTCAATTACATTGACTTCTGAGCGGTCCTCACACTTACAATGGCTGCAGCATCCCCCGTAGTCACATGATCAGAATTTGAGCACTTGGCAACTGCCATGTATTTATGATGGTTGCAACATCTCGGGGGTCATGTGATCATCCTCTGCAACCTTCCCAGGTGGCTTCCAACAAGCAAAGTCTTTGGGGAAGCCGGATTCACTTAATGACCCTGTGATTCACTTAACAACCATGACAAAAGGTTGCAATTGCCTTGCCTAGCAACAGACATTCTGGTCCAAAGTGTCCTAAATCAAGGACTACTTTTACTATAAGATCACTGTAACAGAGTCTGAATACACTTCCCCTCTCCTTCCTGTTACCTTTGGTAGAACTATTGAGCATCATGTCGGAGATGCTTTCCCAAATTACATATCTGCTCTAGAGTCAGATTTCATGGATCTGACCATTGCCTTGGTTGTGGCTCCTCCTCCTATTCTTCAAGATTGTTCCTACTACTTTATAATGCCTTGGTAAGGCCACCCTTGGAATATTGCATCCAGTTTTGGTTGCCACGGTGTAAAAAAGATGTGGAGATTCTAGAAAGAGTGCAGAGAAGAGCAGTAAAGGTGAGTAGAGGACTGGAGGTTAAAACATATGAAGAACGGTTGTTGGAACTGGGTATGTCTAGTTTGATGAAAAGAAAGACTACAGGTGACATGATAGCAGTGTTCCAATATCTCAGGCGCTGCCACAAAGAAGAGGGAATCAAGCTATTCTCCAAAGCACCCGAGGGCAGGACAAGAAGCGATGGGTGGAAATTAATGAAGGAGAGAATCAATCTAGAACTAAGGAGAAATTTCCTGACAGTTAGAACAATTAATCCGTGGAACAACCTGCCTCCAGAAGTTGTGAATGCTCCAACACTGGAAGTTTTTAAGAAGAGATTGGATAACCATTTGTCTGAAGTGGTGTAGGGTTTCCTGCCTTAAGCAGGGGGTTGGACTAGAAGACCTCCAAGGTCCCTTCCAACTCTTTTATTCTATCCTAAGATGCTCAATGCATGTGATGGTGATGATGAAGAAAGATTTATTATGGCCACCCACTCCAGTCAACTTTCTAATCCCTCCCAGATGTTTGGTTGTTTTTTTAAAAAAAAAATTAATATATGAAGCCAATACTAATATTTTCAGAGGTTTTTGTTTTCCTCTCCTTTTTCATAGACTATCCCCGTGGTATCACTTTGGTGATTCCAGTTTCAGGCTCAGAGAAGAAACAGGTGCTTCATTTCTGTGCTCCAAATGCCGAAGAGATGCAAAAGTTTGTGGAAGATCTCAAAGAATCAATAGCTGAGGTGATGGAGCTAGAACAGATTCGAATTGAATGTAAGACTCCCAGCGTGTTCCAGCCTCCATGCAGTCATTCTGTCTGTATGTACATATGTCCATGTCTTCTGTATTTTTATGTTTATCATTGATAGAGACGCCATTTCAGATTTTTAAAAAAATGGGCTGGGGGAACATTTCCAGGAAGGCAGAATGGTCATTGTTTTAAATTGTATTCATTCAGCTGCAGATATACATGGTTTAAGAGTATTCATTATAATTTCTAAGCCTCTCTTCTCTCCTCTCTCTTCTCTCTCCTCTCTCTTCTCTCTCCTCTCTTCTTTCTTCTCTCCTTTCTCCTTTCTCCTCTCTCCTCTCTCTCTTTTCTCTTCATAATAAATATAGGAATATAGGAATATTATTATCTTTCCCCGCTATTAAAAAAAAAAAGTTATTATGAGTTACCGAGTCCACATCCCAGGTTCAAACTTTGGTCTAAGCTATTATTTGTTTTAACTGTGGTTTATACACAGTGCTAAGTTGTAAACCATCATTTACGAATCATAGTGATTGAATTCAAACACCATATTAAACCAGAGTCAACCCTTATTATGACCTAATGTGGTATAATAAGGTACAGAATCCTTGAGCTTGCCGAAGATACAATGTTCCTATGTTCCTATCAATAATTCCACATGGAACCAGTAAATAAATTACTCCCTTGATTTGGGAAATGAGTAAGATGGATAAGAAAATAATGAGAATATTCTAAAACAAATGTATGCTGGATTAGTTCATATGCATCCAGTATGCCAACACAATAACATCAAGGACTTATGTGTATCAAAAAACTTGGCATCATTTTTGGAATGCTATATGGATTATGTGCTCCTAATGTGACTGCTAATTAATTGCTTGGCTGCACAATCCTGCGAGTTCCTCTTTTTTCATTACTTACTGAATAATACTTCCCTCAAATACACACAAATATTCCTTCCCTATATACTGTTGCATCCATTCAGTTGAAGAGCTCTCTAGATATGGCTACAGTTATTCACAGTGGGGTAAAGCAAAATTTGCAGAATCAAAATTCAACATGGAAACGGATATTTGCAAATTCAGAGAAGTAGCATTTCTGGATTTGTCATTCAATGCTTTTTGGCTCAAGGGGAAAAAATATATATGTCATTTCCCTGATTGTGGGTATTTTACCCAATCTACTCCATTTGTGATATCTTAGCCTAAAATGTAGATAGCTTTCCTAGAATTCTTGATTGTTTGTCAAAGCATAAGTAGAAGTGAACCAAACTTTCATTCGTGTTTGTGGGTTTGTGTGTGTGTGTGTGTGTGTGTGTGTGTGTGTGTGTGTGTGTGTGTGCTCCTGCACGTACATGCACTTGGGTGGTATATTTTTCTATCTTTCCCAACTGGGTGCTTTCTCACTGTGGTAGACTATAGCTTCCTCATACCTAGCCGCTGTGTCAGAAGATGCCTGCTAGCACCTTTTCCCAACCAGCAAATTTTAATAAAAACTTTTCATGAGATGCAGCTCACTTCAACAGATGCCCAGAGTGGCTAGGCTGATGGAGAATTTAAATTGGGGGGTGGGGGGAGGAGGAGAAGGGAGGGAAAGACAGATTGGCTATGCAGATGCATGTTATAAATACTCTGTCAATTAACAATTGTGCTAAAAAAACCTATTGTATTTGTTGAGACCTTCTGAGATGGTTTGAAATCTTTTGTTGGATGTGAGTCAGTGGGGAAACGCGACCGGTTTGACCCGGTTCAACTGAACCGGTAGCAAACAATTGCTACCAGTTCCAGTAGTGAAAAAAACAAAGCTTTGATAACCAGCTGAGAGGAGAAAGAAGAGAAAAGCACAGGATTGGGCCGTCCCACCTGCTTTTCTCTTCTTTCTCCTCCCAGCTGATTGGCACGACAAAGTCTCAGCTGGTGTTTGGAAAGCTGCATGTGTGCATGCATGGACATGTGTACGCTAGGTGCGTGTGTGCGTGATTCTACCAGTAGTAAAACTGGTAGAATCCCACCACTGAGTCCAACAGTATCTCCTCCCCCAATGGTGCTGTTAAAGTTTCTTCCGCCCCTCCCAAATGGCTACTTTGAATTCTGTAATGGATTATCCTGGGAGGCTGAAATGCTCCGATATTGCTTTGTCCTTGTCTTGAGAGCTGACGTCAAACTTGTGCCCGTTCATTCTTTTGCACAAAGTTGGTCTGAGATGTACAGAATCCAGAGGGACATCGCTGGCAGATGATGGCATATATCACTCTGGAGGAGAAGCAAGTGAAGGCATCTTTAACCTTGTAGGTTAAGTGTTTTGGAGCCTGTGATGCTAGTGCTGTTGAAATGAATATGGGGGTCCAAACATCTGCTTCCCACCTTAATATCATTTTCTCCTTGTTTCTGAATACTGATGGAGAATCTGATTCAGGTTGGATGGATTTGCTACACCAGAGTTCCCCAACCTTTCTGGCTTTGCAGACCGGCTAGTGAGGGAGAGGGCATGGTTCCCTGTGAGTGGTGGACAAATGCGTGTAGCTCCATTGGCGCAAGCACCAACCATGCACACTCACTGCTTGCACAAGTGGGGATGCGCATGCACACACACACACGCCACTTCCGCGGCCCAGTTCTAAAGGGCTCAAGGCGTGGTAGTGGGCTACGGCTCAGGGGTTGAGGACCCCTGTGCTTCACAGTTCCCAAGAAAGCTGTCCAGCATTGGTTGTAATTTATTAATAATGTTTACCGATAAGCTGCTTGAGTGACTTGAGCAATGACAACCACTGGAATTCTGTTCTCTTTTTGTGATCTATCATTTAGCAGAACTGGGAATTGATCTGGCTGTGTTGATTTATCTGTTGATCTAGGTGAGTGGGTTTCAGTCTCTCGAGTGGCTGGCTTAATTTCATCGAACGAGCATCTCTTATTCCGTGTATTAGAACAAATGCAATTATAGCTCAGAGCCTAGCTATAGATGATAAACTTGAGAGTGTGTTATGGGTAGAAACCTGAAACATTTAGATACATAGGTGTCTATAGGCTTCATGTGCAATGTGCTATTTATATATCCTGTATTGTTACTAGGACATCAAGGAAATGGACTTGTTCTTCAAGTCCACTGCTGCTAAAGCTGATGGTGAGCTGGAAGTTGTTGTAGCTTTGATAAAACTTGATGAGCAATTTTTTTTCCCGTAGGCCCATGTACTGAAAATGTCATAAGTGAATCTCAAGTAAAAGGAGGGGTTTCAGGAGGCAAGAACTGAGGAAGCATTATTTTAGATTGGCATGGAGAATTTGGCATATGACATGAGTGTTCATGCAGTGATGCTCATCTGCAAGTGTATGTTGTTGCCAAAGTTTAAGGAGTCAAGGGTGAAGACCAGGTCATACAGCTGGGTGATACGAATGGTACTGATAATCTGCTTCTCATCTGTCCTGCATTTTCATAACCACCCTTCTTCCCTTCTTTTTTCTACCTTTTCCCACCCCAATTTAAATCCTACATTAGTTTAGCCACTTTGTGCATTAGATGAAGTGAGCTGCAGCTCCTGAAAACTTATGACTTTTAATAAAATGTGTACGACAGAAAAGTGCTACCAGATTCCTCCTGACCGTAGACTAACATGACTCTCCTCCTACAATATCTAGCAAACATGATTGGTCTTTTTCTTTGTCACGTCCCTCTGTTTTTATTGCTCTGTTTTTCTTTCGTTTTCATCTTTCTTTTTCTTTCTCTCCATTATATATCTATACCTTCCTCCTCTTCCCCCCATTCCCATGTCTTCTTAGGGGAGCTGGAGAAACAGCATGGGGCAAAGAATCTTTCCTTAAAAACCAATGGGGCTCAGATGGAAATGCAATTCAAGCAAGGATCTCCAGCAGGTTAGAATTTTCCTGGGTTCTTCCCTTCCTACCTAGAACAACAGTCAGCCTTTCTTTTCTCACCTCATAACAACAAGTAAGATAACAGGAAAAGGAAGGACAAAGCAACCTTGAGCAATAACATAACAGATCTTATCCTTGAAATGTCCTCAAGCTGAAGTCATTTCAAAATAACTATGTTTCTCAAAGAACCAAACCCACATGCCATGCCATTCCCCCACAATTGGGGATTTTCCAGATCAGAATTAAAAGCTTATCATCTCACCGTTTGGTTACCTGTTAATCTGAAAAAAAGAAAAGCCAAAGCGGCAGATCTCGTGCTGATTTCTATGATAAAATTGAATTAATAGCCAGCAAAAGCTCATTCTTTGAGCTATCCAGACATGTGCATCTGATTTCATAGTGCTGACGTTCTCCAAACTAGGTCATCCCTGAGGAGGGAAGAAGCAAAAAGGATAAACCTTACATTGAACTAGGTGTACTGGTTTGTAGCAAAGGACCTTTCACCAGTCTGGAAGTGCTGCCATATTCTCAGCAAATTATAAAACTAGGCGGGATATATGAAGACATCTATTTTAGGCTAAAAGAATGAAGGTTCTTAAATAGATTCAGTAATCATTCAATCATTTTTTTTTTGGAAAGGAAGATTAGGGAAATGATACTATCTTTACCAAACTATAGTTGGAGGAGGAGAGTTGAAATTTAAATTAGTATATACTCTGTTGATCTATATCATGGATAAACCAGTACTCAACCTATTTTATTTTATTTTCTCTCAAAATTATATTTTCAGTTCCAGGAAGTAATTTTCCTTTTAATATTTGACTAGGAAAGGAAGGATAGAAGCAGTACATCTGGGATCTAAGGCCTAAATAAACCAATATTGGTTAAAATGTTAGACTGAGAATGGAGAAGCCCAGGTTGAACTCAACCTCCCATCTGGGAAGCTCACAAAATGACTAGTTACTAACTAGCTAGTTACTCAATCATAGCTCAACATATCTCACAGGGGTTCTGTGATAGGACACAAATGGAGCCTCTCCTCAGGTGGAAAGTTTGGGTATGAACTCCAAATAAATAAGCAAACGGCGGTAAGTAGAAGAAGACACCTGTACCATGGATTTCATTAGGTTGATGTGACACAGCAAATATCTGACGGTGAATTATTTTATTGTTGCATTTTTGCTGCCAGGAAAGTGAACTTGTGGGTTTTTCTGCCTAGGGTGCCCCAAATAACTGACTTGCCTTGACGTAGATTGATTGAAGGTGGGCAGGGAGAGAAGCTTAGCAAGCCCAAAGAGTCTGGCCCAGTGCAGAATACCAACAATTGTCCTAACTTATGGCAGAAAGAGTAGGTTGCACCACTGAAGGAAAGTCCTCTTTTATTTTCAAAGGCAAAAAAGATTTAGGAGAAAAAGGCCCGGAGAACACAGTGGAGGTAAGTAGAATGTGCAGCTGTGGAGGTAAGTAATTCTCCCTCAGTTCAGCCCTTCTTACATTCTCTGTTGTTTCTTTTCTCAGGTTTTAATCAATGCCTCCCCTGCCAGACTGACAATTTTACCAATTTCCAGAGATACAATAAAAAGTTACTGCTAGGACGGGTAATACAACTTTCAAATCCAGATTAAACTTCAAAGCATTTTTTTTCAAGCCGTTTTCTTCTAACTGTTAACACATCCTTCATGGAGCCAGCGGCCGAACTCTGGAAACTAACGCTACTCCTTCCTCATCCCCACCCAGCACCCTTTCAGGAGAAATCAGAGACGGAGCTGAGACGACCCCACCCCCCTCCCGGCAGGGAATCTCCCCCGATCCTCACTGCTCACCCGATCTTTCCCTCATAGCTCTTCTGCCCAAGACACTGGTGCCACGTTGGTGGCGGGCTGGGCAAGATTTAACCAGGGGAGGTTGGAAGATTAGACCAGATGTTCCCCAACCTGGGAGGGATTACTAGGCAACAATGGCATTGTTTTTCCTTATATGGAAATAAATCTCCACAGTAAGAACCCTTCCAAGGACTCTCTCTCCTCAGACTCCTTCCCTCTCTCTGGAGATACCCCAACTACCTCTAAGGGCAGGGAATACTTTTCTCCACCAACCTCTTAACTGACACCAAGTTCCGTCACCTTATAATTACTTGGTTTGGGCCTTATTATCCAAGTTGTGCCTTTCAGCTTTCTCTTCCGCAGCCTTTGAGAAAACAGCCCTTCTGGGGGCATACTTGTTGCTCAGGCCATGCTCCTTATAGAGTGCTTCATAAAAACTAACTCATTACTCTGGCAGCATGGCTGCTAATGCTCTACAGGAACAGGCATCTGCATTTTGAGTCAAAACAGACACCTCTTCGTGGAAAGATCTTTACTTCAGGATCCCAAGGAAGCTGTTCATAAAGCTTTCTCCTGGTTGGAATTCCAGAATTAGGCAGACAGGGCACCCTATCCTCTCCAGAAGGGACCTCATTCTCCGACTCCTTGTTGGCCCTTTCTCTCCTGAATCTACTAGGTAGCTGTGCTTCTTTGAAACTCTTCCTCTTAACTTGTATCTATAGGCAGGCACCCTAGATTCCTTCCCTAGGGAACTCCAGTCCATCTTAGTTGCTGTTTACAAACTGAACTTGAGGAATTCTTTGGGGTTCTCTCACTGAAGATCCTTCAAGCCTTCTTCCTCCCCTCCCCTCCTCAGCAGAAACCCAGCATCTCCATTTTCTCTGAGATTTACCTGATCTGCTGCCATTTCATCAGACTTCTTTTCTTTTAAACCATTGTACAAACTGGATGGATACTTTTTTTTTCTTTTCCTTTTGGGGGCCGATTTAAAAATCATTTCCTCTCACTTGCCACAACCATTGGGTGGATCAGAGCGAGTTGCAAGTTTGCTGAAAGATGTCAATTTGTGCTTGGTTTTCTTTTCTTTTTTTCCCCCTTCCCTTTTTAATTTTCTCCTTTTGTAAACAGAGTAGTGACTCATGTGTGCCACTTTCCTGCTCAGAAAGACAGGAGCTAGGAAGAGCTCAAGTCTTTCCTTGAATGTCAACAAATCTCATCTCCTGCCCACCCCACCACAAAGATGTACAACCTCAATTATCCTTTCTTCTTTCTGCCTTGTTAGCTTATGGACTGCAAGATGATGTAAGAGTTTCTGAGCGCTCCAGTTATGAAGCACAGCTTATCTGAAAATATGCCTGCATTAAGCAGAATTTGGAAAGACTTTATTCCCAGTTGCCTTTCTTCCAGCAAAAGACAAATAGGGGCATAAAAAAAATTTCTAAGCGAACATTTAAAACTCTGAGTAACAAGATGGTTTTTTTGATAGCGTGAGAGGAAGTGGACTCATGCCTTCAGCGTATATTAGGTCAAGCTTAAGTCTTTTCATCCCACTTGCTCTGGGTGCCACTTGTATTGACTCCACCTGGATGGTTGAGGTTGTGCTGTCTGTGGATATAGCATCACTGCCTTCGCTGTTATGAGGCTGGGGAAGATGTGCCTGTGGGAGAGGGGGAATGAGGGCTCAAAGGAGGGGTGGGAGATTTTGGAGCAATGCTTAAGCTGGGCTATGGCTTTTGGAGGAAACCTTGGCGGTGGGGTGGGTGAAGGGCAGCCTGCAGAAGCAGCTGGGAAAAAGTCTTGTAACGTTTAATGCTTCTCTGACTGTTTCTAAACTAGGTGTCAATTCACAACAGGCTTCAAACGTACCAGCACAACTCTCTCCCGAGGCTCGAGAGTGGAGTGGAGCCCAGCACACATCCTAATGTGGCACGGGAAAGGCTGGAGGCAGCATTGGCACCCTCTTACCCTGCCTCTGCGGGGACCCTTGTACAGTGTCAGCAGATTGTCAAAGTTATAGTCTTGGACAAGCCTTGCCTTGCCCGAATGGAGCCAGCCCTCAACCAGACTTTGACGCGCTACGTGTCCTCCGATTCCTGCAACTCTACACCCTTGCACTGTCGAGGCAGCGAGCTCCAAGGGACCCCCGTGAAAATCATTCATCAGCCCCCACTTCCACCGCCTCCGCCACCCTACAACCACCCGCACCAGACCTGCCCCCCCAGTTCCTTGCTTCACAGACGCCGATGCTCCAGTGGCTCACGAAGTCTAGTGTAGCGGCCCTACCAGCAGTAGCCAAACAGCACAGACCTAGCCTGGGACATTTTTCTGTCTTCAGAAAATATCTAGTTTGTAATTTATTTTTTAGTAAAATGAGA